GAATAATAATGTATGTCAACTATAATTATATATACATATAGTCACAGGATGTGGAGTAGAGAGTGGGAATGGAGTCAATGGAATTGTAATAGATAAGTATGATATTGGGGGTGGGAGGGCAGTAGATGGGGGAGGGGGGTTGTTTCTGTGCAAAGGGCGAAAAAGATAACTATCGTATTGTTCTGTACACCTGAAACTAACAATAAAAATTTAAAAAAAGAAAAAGAAAAAGAAAATCCTAACCAATGAAGCATGCACGTGTGTGTGTATGTGGTGTGTGTGTGTGTGCATGTGTATGTGGTGTGTGTGTGTATGTACGTGGTGTGTATGTGGTGTGTGGTGTGTGTGTGTGTGTGTGTGTGTGTGTGTGTGTGTTTAGGTTTTAAGCTACTTATGGACCAGGACTTCCTGGATTGTGTTTTGTAAGCAATGAGGGTCATGCTGCCCTTAGACATCAAATATACATGATTTGCAATTACAGCAACTCTTAAGTTCAATGACCATGCAGCATACACCTTAATAAATGAATAAATACAGCAATATGATTTCCATTCATTCCCAAGCATCATTGGACCATAGTTCCTAACAGCCTATTATATTGTTCTGACCTCACCTTCAGAATGCCAATAAAGAGGATTATAATGTAAGCCATTCTAAATGTCTTTGAAAGAAGGCAGATGAATGTTATGCTGTCATGAATCTGTACCTCTGGGAAGCCTATGCTTACAAAAGCAGTCAGTTAATGCTTTTGCCTTTAGCTGGTACCGCTCTATTGTACCTTCCTTTGCTATCAGCAATAATATTTTCACATTCTCGGAATGAATGACTTGAATGTGAAAAGTTAACAAATAACATTCAAAAAACACTTCAATCTTCAAGCTCTCAACCCATCCAGTTTTGTGATCTTTGGCACCTTTGATTCCATAGAAGACAGAATATCAGGGTGCTTCAGCCACATGTGAGTATATTTCCAGGTGGATGTGTTAATTATTTGCAGGGATGCCTAGCCACTGCTGGGCAGTTACACTCAGCAAGGTGAACAAATGGAAAAACAGGGAGGGGGTGGTCATTCTTCGAGATGTTCACTATTGCTTCTCACCCAGAAGACAGAAGAGCTGAACAGGACTCTGTCCAGTGACATCTCCCTTACTGTTGATGATCCTGGGAATTCTTTCTGAGTGTTTTTTTTTTTTCTCATAAAGAGCTCAAGGCCCCCAGTTTACTTAGCCATAAGCATTACAAAATCTAGAAATGCCAAGCCCTTAAATTAGCAGAGACCAACACTCTGTTGCATAAATTTCTGCAGGCCACACCATGAATGTACGAGTACCTGCTCATATAGAGGTCCCTGTCTGAGTCGCAGTGACCCTTCCCTTCTCGGGACCCATGTGGGTCCCTGGTGACCATAGATGTATGTGTGTGGCTTTCCTTCCAGCCCTGACTAAAATGTTTTGGGAAAGTTGACACCTAATCTAAGTTGGGCCAATGAAGTCATCTTGAAAATTTAAAATTTTCAGCAGATAGATCCCAAGAGAGAAGTTGTTTAACTAATGTGAGTGCTTTCTAGGGAAAGTCAGGTACTTCCTACAGATCAGGTTCCTGGACTGCCTTGATTCCCTCCCTTTCTGAGTTATTATTACTCAGCTCTTCTGGTATCATAACAGGATTTGATACAGGAGAAGTTAACTGGTCCAGGAGATCATAGTTGAAAAAATACCAGGTAATGGGCAAGCCTCTGATGTGATGTGTGGCTTCCAGGGGTAATATCAATTAGATTTTTTATGTCTATTGATTGATGAATGACTTGATCATAACGAATAGCAATGGTAAATTCAGTTATGCTTTCCAAAAGTTGGTTTCTTTTTTATTACTCACAATTGTAGGACCCATAGGCATGAAACATTAGTTATTTATTTTACAGACCATGCTTTGTTAGCTTTGCAAATTGCTTTGTAAAAACTCCAGAGCCTCACAACATGTGAATCAGTGGTTCGGTATAAGTTTTCAGTGCATGTCCTGATTTTAATATGATGTGGTTAACTAACCAGATGACACATGTCTGAAAATGAGGTCAATTAAGTGAAAGATGTTGACCAGCGAGACTCAAATGATACTCTCAAGTATCTCTAAATCTCTTTAATAGCCCCACAAATAATATTTGATTCTAATTTTATGTTTAAATAGTATAATTATTTTAAACTGTAATAAGAAACAAGTACACTGTATTGTATCCTATGTTACATATTAATGCATTTGAGACCACCACAATATTAATTTATACAACAATGTTAATTTATGCAGAGCATGGAGCACTTTTACTTTGAAGCAAGTAAAGCTTCCTTTTAATTCATCACTGAGCACCTACTACTGACCAACCACCTATGCATCTAACTATTTGTAAAAGGTGTCACTGACTATAGATGTGGTTACTTGGCACACAGGTTTTGTTTTTTTGGTGGGTTTTTTTTTTGTCCTGCTAATTCAGGGCAGCCAATGGCTGGTCATGTAAGATTTTAGAAGCAAGTATTCCACTATTTTAGGATTTTCTAAATACTATACAAATAAAATCCAACACAAAAATAATTGGTGCTGAGGGAGATTAAAACCATAATTACCATAATCCCTACTTTCAAATTTGTGTGCTCATTAAAAGAGATGTCAACATTTGAACTTACAGGGCAATTTTATATTAACAAAATGCAGCTTTTACTTATTTCATTTGTATTTTTTATGTCGAGGTTTTCACATTCCATTTTATTAATGATTGAAAGCCACCACTGTAGCAACATTTTTCAACCTTGGCGTTACTGACATTTTGGAACAGGTAATTCTTTATTGCTAGTGGCTGTCCTGGGCACTGTAGGATATTAAGCAGCATCCCTGGCCTCTGCCCACTAGGTGCAAGTATCAAGCCTGCACCACCAGCCCAACCATCAGAAATATCTCCAGATATTGCCAAGTGTCTCGTGGGGAAAAATTATCCATGGCTGAGAAGCATTGGCTAAGTCATGGGATCATAGGGCTGCCCACACTGTAGTAATTTCTAGAGAATGTTCGCATCTTCACAATTTTTTAAATTCATAAGCAGCTATTAAATCAATAATACAGTAAACTAAATAGATAATTTTTAAAGCATTATAAAATATTTATTGTGTTTTCGCATTAAGGGTGTTTGAAACACAATGCAGGCCATAAATATAATGCTGTGAAATTGTGTTTTCAGATAACAAAAGATATTCATGATTTATTGGAAGTGAGAAAAACTAATCAATTCATATGATTATGGAAGCAGGAAGCAAGAAGGAAATTAGTTTAAAAATCTTCTTATGTGCTAAATTCTGGATATAATCAGCCTTCAAATTTTTTTGTAAAACTTTTTGAAGAAATTTTTTAAAAATTGAGTTTCAAATTTTTTGCTCTTACCTAATGCTCAAATAAATCTGATTAATTGACCAACATCCTGTCTAAGAATGTCTTCACAGGGAATGTCCCAATGTTTACCCAGTGAACTTTCAAAAGGAAAGCCAAAGAGAAACTGGAAAGGGCTAGGTTTTTTCCTAATAATGTTTTTAAGGAGAAGGTGCGTATTAGGTTAACACAAATGACCAAAACAATATCTTGCCTTAGCAGCCTCAAAAAAACATATGAAAAGTACTTTGTCAAATTTAGATACATTGTTGGTGGGAATGCAAACTGGCACAGCCTCTCTAGAAGGACAATGTAGTAAAATTGAAAATGCATGTAACTTTTTATCTAGAAATAGCCAACAGATATAGTCAGACAAAGTAGAGCTTACCAGCATACTCAGAGCATCTTCATTTGTAAAAGTTAAAGACAAGAAATAATGTAAACGCCCACCAAAGGGTGATTGGGGAAATAAATTATGGTATTTCCATCAACTGAACACGTTGTAGTAAAATTTTTTTAAGACAGCTTATTATTCACTGATATAAAACCAAATCCAAGATGCGTTGTTAACGAAAACCAACAGGTTCAGAACAGGGGGCGAGGTAGACTATTGTCTAAGAGGTTTCCCCCTAAGAAGACATAGCTGTGCATCTATTTGCATGCAGAGTATTTATGGAAATTTTCCAGTGGTGTAGCTCCTGAGCATTAAGATAGAAAAAAAACATTATTAAATTTGAATCTTTTGAATTCTTAAAATTATGATTGTACATTACTTTATGAAAAAGAACCTTTTTTTTAAAGAAAAGTGGATAGAGTGGATAGCCATAAGGATTTAAGTTACCCCGGACTCTATAGTCCAGAAAACTAACCCAGAAAACTAGCCCAAGCAAGAAAAAATGGAGAGATAATGGAAACCAAGGTAGGATATCTAGAGTCAATGTCCTGGGGTTTGCGTAAACACATAAGCTCAACTAGAACTGGTAAATATGGTGTGAACACCAATCCCAGGAGAGTATTGTATGCTTCCTGCTGAGTATAGGTAGACCAAGGTCTCAGAGATGAATCTGACAAACCTCTCTCATAATGGGGAATGTGAGGCTCCAAGATTTATAGAGGATGGATTTTGTTGTTTGTTGTTGTTGTTGTTGTTTTATTATTAGGTTGTAGCACGAGAGGAAGGTAGGCTTTAATGCATAACGTAGATGTCCTATTCATAAGGCAGGACTTGCTGCAGATATTGGAAGAGACAATGCTAGGATGCTAGTAAATATAGGAAGAACCATGGAATAATAATAGCTATAGGAATGACCATTGTTTGTGGAGCGTACAACTCTTTTAATTCTCACTGCCATCCAATTCAGTAGATATTTTGAGTGGTAAGGGGGACTGATGCTCATGGAGATAAATTAACTAGCTCAAGCTCATACCACCAGTGAGCAGCAAAGAAAGACTCAAGTTTGATGTGCCTGCCTTTAACATTGTTAATCACAAAATTTTTATGCCAATTGGTAGACATGATTCAGGGCTGGGAAGCCTGGAAATGAAAGTCATCATCCTTATGATGCTATCTTTTTTCTCTTTCATCCTGACAGAATTACAACCACAGCTGCATGTATGATGGACCTACGAAGATATCCCCTGGATGAACAAAACTGCACTCTGGAGATTGAAAGTTGTGAGTTACTTGGTCGGGAAATGAAAAAGAGGGATGTTTGCTTGACCCAATTAAATTCAACTTTGGACTGAGTAATTGGTGCTAGGGTATTTTCAACTCTACTACACTGCCAATTTTTCAAGGGGTTGACAGTCTAATGACATTTTCTTTTATATCAGTGGCTCAAGGGTCATTTCAGTGCAGTTATCATTTTGAACCATTAGAGAAAGTCTACTTAGTTTAGCTGGACAATTTGTAAATCCATGCTTTCTCTTTCTTGGAGTGGAGTTTCTCCCAAGGCTTTCCCATACCCAAGCTACATTAATAAGAGAGGAAAAATATTTTGATACGTAAAGATTTTGTGAGATTGTTTATGGTTCTATAGTCTGTCTACCTAAAGGATTGTAAACTGTTGTCTTTTAGAAAAACACTTCGGTAGAGTCTTGTGTGCATGTGTCGTCCTGCATGGGAAGAACGAGATGATAAATGGTATTATGAGGCTTGTGCTTTGGGCCAAAGACTTGATGCATTTCGGCTCTAGTGACTGATTTTGGTTTGTCCTCTTGGGCTGTTTGTTTTTCATTGATTACTTTCTTAACAATTTGAATATTTTAGTCACTAGGGTTTAATCTGATTGACTATGTTTGTTTCATTGTTTCTTAGCCATCAACAAGCAGGCATGTGAGCCCATTTACTATGAATACCAGGCCTAGGCCATTTCCTGGTTTTCCAGGGGCACAGAAAGGTACAGTAGCTAATTCAGAGCATTACCATACCACTTAATGGATTAGGAGAAATAGACAGATATTTATATAGATCAAAATACTTTCTAGTTATAAACATCAAAGCAGTAGAGGAAAATGGGAAAATTCTGGGTGACCTCATAGCATTATTAAAGAACAAATGAGGCCGGCCAAATGGCGCATTGGTTAAGAGCTGGCTTAGAACACCAGAGGGCCCCAGTTCGGATCCCACATATGAGGGCCAGTGACACTGCCCTCCACAGCTAAGATGCTGAACAACAGCTCAACCTGGAGCTGAGCTGCTGTGATTCGCCAGTGCTGGCATAAACTGCAGCTCCTGCTGCAGTGGGTTGCCATTGGCTACCGTGTGTAGCCAGCAGCTGTAGTGAGCGGCCGTCCAGAAACCAGCGACTGATCTGCCTTGCCCAGGAAGAGCGCAGTGATGGTGCCAACTTGGGCCAGTGAAGCAACGGTCTCCACAACTAGACTGAAGAACAAAAGGACAGCAACTTGTCTGTTCCCCTTCCCCCAAATCCCCAGCGCTGTTCCCATCCCCCAATTCCCCAATAAAAATCTTTAAAAAAAAAAAAGAATAAATATATTCCTGATTGTCTGATGGTTAAGTAATTACATTAATTTTTTAGTTTTAGTGAATACAGAGATAAAACAGATAAAGATGCTTATGTAGATATAGATGTAGATTCAGACATAGACGTTAATCTACTACCACGAGAACATGGAATGGACAAAAACATTCATGAGCTATTCTTTAATTAACATTATAATTTTAAAATGCATTTTATAAATAAGTTGGTTGGCAGATGTTAATATGTGAAAGTATTGATGGTGACTTTTGGTTTAAATGACAAACAAAATCAAAAGGTGGAAATGAAATATGAACTCAATCATTTATTAATGGCTAGAGATATGTGTTAAATAAGGCAGAGCTTTCGCTGAGCAAGTAAACCATTAGCTTTTGGAACTGACGTGGAAAGAGAAGGATAAGCTATGGCTTGCTTCATACGGGTTGCCTTTTACACTTGACATCTCCTCCACTGATTGTGATTTTTAACCTTTGCTTCTTCTGGACAGCGTTAGGATATGACATCCTCTTGAAATTACAAGATCTTATAATTTACATCATTCACTTAAAGAAGTCATGAATTTTGACAAGTATTTAAATAGATTTTGTGTTGTAAATGGCCAGGTGCTAAAATTATCAGTATTTATTTTCTCCCCAAATGCATATTTTATTTTACAATATATATCGAGTTTTCCTGTTATTATAAGTTTATATTTTTTCTTTAATTAGGCAAATTACTTTATTCATATTTAGAAAACAGATAACTTTTAGGTCCATTTATCATATCATATAATGACCAGAAGTATAAATGAGGAAGAAATAAAACATAACTTTTGTAGGGCAGGAAAGGGAGAAGTACAAACAGCCAGATAGTCCAAAGTTATAAAATATAGTGTCAGGCCATAGGTAGTAACCCAGGCATATGATACTCATTGAAGTAATGCAGTGAGACGTAGTCAGCTGTCTGGACAGATGGATGAGGCATAGTAACTGGGACCCTGAAGTAAGCTAATATGTAGGAATGCAGGCAGATGGTGGTGATCATTAAAGTGATCCAACAGCAGGTCACAGAACTCTAGTCCCTACGGATCTTTACCTAAAGCAAAGCAGAAACTCAGGTCTGTGAGAATTCATGTAATGAGGACTCTATAAAAGCAGAAACTTGGGAGAAAGGGGAAAAATTAATACAGAACTGCCTTCTATTTGCCAGACCAAAGCTAGGCATTAGTATAACACCTCCTTAACATAAGTATTTCTGACAACATTTGAGAGATGAAGTACCTGAAGCTCAGGGAAGTAAAATAACTTACTAGGGCCACAGGGCAAGGATAGTGGTGAACTAGGGATTCAAACCCAGGCAATCTAACTATCCTAGAATCCTGCAATCAACAGGTGAGCAGGGAGTAGAACAATGATTAGAAATACAGCACCAACTGGAGCTGCTCTCAGCTAGGTGGAGGATGCTTAACCAGCCAAAGACTGGTCGGTGTTTCCTAAAATTATCCCTAATAAAGGTTATAATTAGACCCCAGAAGCTGAAGCAGAATTTTGCTTTTAGATCAAAGGTCAAACGATTGCAACTGCAGAGAGAGGGTAGTCTTGTGGATGCAGGAAACCAAAGTAGTCCTTGATTCCATTAATGCTAATCTAAAAAAAAAAAAAGTAAAATCCTCAAAGGACAATATTTCTTAGCTTTAATAATTTACTGAAAATGTATCCCTTCTTAGCAATAGCTAAACCAATGTAAAGAGATTTTAAATATTAAGAGTAATAATTTCTAGCAATGAAGTAGCATATAGCAATAATATGGAGTTTAAATGAGCTTTGCTTTTTCTTGCCTAAGTTCGTAATTGATACGTTGCAAACAAAGTATTAATAAATACTGAACCTGTTATTTATCTTTTTTTAACTCTTCATGAAGAAACATGTGTTGCATTATTTGCTGAAACAGCTCTCCCTGAATTGACAAATTTATGACAACTATAACGAAGCTTTAAAGTGATTACAAATGAGAGGCTCTAGTGACAGCTGGGAAATAAAAATGATGAAGTAGACTTTCTGACAATGTAAATTTGAACCCATCATACTTTTATGACCAACAGAGTAGAAACTTTACCTACCTTACAAAATGTACTATAGTTTGTATTCTCTTCCCTCACAATCCTAAGAATGTGAAAATATTTTGCTTGGTTACATCCTTTGAGACAATTAAAGGTGTTTCGCTTTTCTTTAATGACATTTAATCAAGTAAAATTGGAAAGGTCATAAAACTTTGTTAAATTGAAATTTCAGTTAAACTTGGGGCAGATGAATAGTTTCACAGCCCTGGGATGCTATAAAAAGCATTAATGGCATATAGCAAAATCTATCAAGGAATTCAGTATTAAGATGGTTTGGAATTTGATATCAGTAAAGCTATCATGTGAAGGTTTGATAGCCACACGCCTTGTGGAGATACAGAAAGGGCTTTGGATAACCATCATGGAGGATTTGGGTGCCTTTTCCCATTCTTTGTAGCAACAATTGAGGAAAATCTCAACCCTAATCTCACCCTCTCAGTATCAGAAGATAGGGTCACTTCGCACTGTACTCCAAACAGGTAGAAGCCATTTCAGGCCTGAAGTCTCTAGTGGGCCTATCCATTTTCTTCTAAACTTCCTTGTCATCTTCACTATTCTATGCTAGCCCCCTGTATTTCAGAGGAAGTGGTACCCCCTATTTCTTTTATCGCCTGACCCTGGCCCATATGTTGAGGATTTCATCTTTCTTCCTCCTCTGAGAATTGATTTTCTCAAGTTCACACCCACCTCCACCCCAATCTCTTACATCTTCGTTCTCACCCTCTCTGCTACCTCTTTATTCACAGCCTAAAATCAAGCTGAAAACCCTTCTCATCGCATAACACCTCTATTCTACTCCCGTTATCTTCCCTTAAGTTTTTCCTAATCTCCCTACTTTCTTTTGCTCCAGGCTACTTGAAAGAACCATCTATATCTGTAGTCTAATGCCTCAACTTCCTCTCATCTCACTGTAATCTGGAACTTCCATACCCATCTCCCACCTCCATTGACACTGTTCTCAGAAAGATCACAAAGGATCTCTCTTTAGTCCAATGATCCCCAAATGTATATCTCCAGCTCAGATCTCTTTAAAGCCCCAGATTGACGTATACAGATCTCCTCTTGGCATATCTATTTTTATGTTTCAAAGGCATCTTAACCCTAATTTGCTCAAAACCTAACTATCGATTTTTTCCTCCCAAATGAGTTTCCCTTCCAGTCTCCTTAATCTTACTATCCAACTAGATTCCTAAGGTTAATTGCTAACATGTCCCTCACTCTCCTCCCATCCAATCTGTTGTCAAGTACCATTCACTTCTCTCCAGTCTTACTGCCACCAAACCACCATTACTTCTTACTGAATTATTGCAGCAGTCTTTTTATTGGTCTTCTTGATTTCACTCTTGACTGCCTTCAACCCATTTTCTATCCAGGCACCAGAGTGATCTTTGCAAGATATGAATGGGGTTGTATTACTTCTACACTTAAAAATATTCAAAGATTTCCCATTGCACAAAAAAAGCCTCTCCACACTTCTTAATTTGACTTTCAACCTCCTGTGTGACCTTCATCCTTCTATATCTTCATTCTCGGCAGTAGCCATCTTTCCCTTGCTAACTACACTGAACTCCAGCA